CTGATTTCCAGCAATCTTGCCAAACTGACATATACATTCAAATAGTTTCTCACATATTTCTCTGGATTTTCTATATACACAATTGTATCATCTGTGAATAATAACAGTTTTATGTATTCATTTCCAATTTTTATTCCTTTTATTTATTTTCCTTGCTTTGTTGAACTAGCCACGACTTCTGGTACAATGCTGATTAAAAAAGATAATCATGAGGCTGGGCGTGATGGCTCATGCCTGTAATCCTAGCACTCTGGGAGGCCGATGCGGGAGGATCGCTCAAGGTCAGGAGTTCAAGAACAGCCTGAGCAAGAGTGAGACCCCATCTCTACTAAAAATAGAAAGAAATTAGCTGGACAACTAAAAATATATAGAAAAAATTAGCTGGACATGGTGGCGCATGCCTGTAGTCCCAGCTACTCAGGAGGCTGAGGCAGAAGGATCACTTGAGACCAGGAGTTTGAGGTTTCTGTGAGCTAGGCTGACGCCACTGCACTCACTCTAGTCCAGGCAATAGAGTGAGACTCTGTCTCAAAAAAGAAAAAAAGAGGTAATCATGGAATCCTTTTCTTGTTCCTGAACTCAGGAGGAAAGCATTCTATGTTTTATCACTAAATATGATGTTAGCTGTATGTTTTTGGTAGATATTATTTATCAGATTAAGAAAGTTCCTTTCTATTCCTAGTTGGCTGAAAGTTTTCTAAAAATCATGAATGTGTATTGAATGTTAACAAATGTCTCTTCTGCACATATTGAGACAATCATTTTATTTTTTTATTTTATTGTGTTAATATGGTGAATTACATTCATGGATTTTAAAAATGCTAATAAACCTTGGCGGGGGCAGTGGTTCATGCCTGTAATTCTAGCACTCTTGGAGGCCGGTTGGGAGGATTGCTTGAGGCCAGGAGTTCAAGACCAGCCTGAACAAGGCAAGACTCCATGTCTACAGAAAAATAGAAAAATTAGCCAGGCATAGTGGCAAGCGCCTGTAGTCCCAGCCACTCAGGAGGCTGAGACAGCAGGATCACTTGAGCCCAGGAGTTTGAGGTTGCACTGAGCTATGATGACACCATTGGACTCTACCCCATGTGATAGAGTGAGACCCTGTCTCAAAAGAGAAAAAAAAATGCTAATAAACCTTGAATACTTGGGACGAATCTCGATTGTTCAGGTTGTATTATTTTTCTTATGTACTATTATATTCAGTTTGCTAACATTCAGTTTTCATTGATGTTCATGAGACATTGGCCTGTGATTTTTCTTTCTCATTATGTCTTTGTCAAATTTTGCTATCAGAGTTTTACTGGCCTCAAAAAATAAGTTTCTGTTCTGTGGAATAGATTGGTATTAATTTGTAAATGTTTGGAAAAATCGCTAGTGATGTTGTCTGAGCCTAGAGTTTTGTAGAAAGATTTTAACATATGAATTCAATTTCTTTAATAGACTCAGAACTCTTCAGAATTTCTGTTATCTTCTTATGTCACTATTGGTATGTTGTATTTTCTAAGAAATTTTATCCATTTAATCTCAATTTTCTAATTTATTGACATAAAGTTATTCATAATACTTTCTTATTGTCTCTTAAAATATCTGTGAGTCCTTAGTCATATCCTCATATCCTTTTTCTTTTTTCTTTCTTTCTTTTCTTTTTTTGAGACAGAGTCTTGCTCTGTGGCCTGGGCTAGAGGGCTGTGATGTCAGTCCAGCTCACAGCAACCTCAAACTCCTGGGCTCAAGTGATCCTCCTGCCTCAGCCTCCCGAGCAGCTGGGACTACAGGCATGCGCCACCACGCCTGGCTAATTTTTTTTATTTTTAGTAGAGACGGGGTCTCACTCTTGCTCAGGGCTCGGGCTGGTCTCAAACTCCTGAGCTCAAGTGATCCAAAACAAAACAAAAACTAAAATTCAGTAGTTTTAAATAATCATCACCTACCCAGTCAATGATTCTGCTAGTTGGTAATTTGGGTTAAGTTCAGCTAGTCTGTTCTTTCAGTTTCAGCTTTCATCACTCGTGCATGTATGGTCAGCTGCCCGATTGGCTAGGGGTGACTGATCTAGGAGGGCCTCAGCTGTGTTGGTTTATCTTTGCACTGTGTGATCTCTCATTTTCCAGCAGGCTATCCTAGGCTTGTTCACATGTTAGCTAGACAAGTTTCCAAGAGAACAAGTGGAAATGTGCAAGTCCTCTTCAGACTTAGGCTTAGAACTGGCACAACATCATTTTTGCTGCATTCTTTTCCGAAGGCCAGCCCAGTTACAAAAGACAGGGAAGTGAATGGACCCCCTCTCTTGATGATGGGAAGAGCTGTAAAGCCACATTGCAAAGAACTGACTATATTTGTGTTCTATCATACTAACTCTCTGATGAAATTCTCGAATTGTATTTTATTTTCTTGAACATACTAAACATAATTATTTTAAAGTCTATGACCTGTAACTCTATTACCTAGATGCTCCCTGGGGTCTGTTTCTATTGTATATTTTTTCTTTTGGTTTTTGGACATATTTCCTCTCCTTACGCTTATTTTAAATTTCATTTTGGATATTGTATATGAAAATTTACGGAAATAATTTAATGTTATAATTAATGTTCTTTTTCTCTAGGAATAATTTGTGTTTGCCTCTAGTAGGCAGCCAGATTAGAGCTACTAGAGATTCCAGTTTAATACGGGGTTGTGATGATTCAAGATTGAGAGCTTCAGTTCCTATGAAGGCTGGTCATCTCTTGTTCACTCTTACCCTTAGTGTACAACACTTTGTGGTACCAACCCCAACTCTGATGCGCTTCAGGTATACCCACTTTCTAACAGGAGGGCCCTGAACTCCATGTTCTCTTCATTCCTTCAATTTATTGTAAGCTCTGCTAAGCTCCTCAGCATTTCAGCTGCCATTTATAGAATAAGAAGATGCCTCCAGGGAACAGAAGTCAAAGATGTTGGTTTTACCTCTTTGAATTTCCTTCTTTCAGATCTTGGACCCATACTATTTTTGCACTTTGTTAGCTCTCTGATGCCTTTAACAACATGCTTTCATATTATGTTCATTTTTCTTCTAGTTATTATCAGTAGGAGGGTTGGTTAGTGTGTCTTAACCTGGTTTTTTATTATCAGAATTAGAATTCCTTAAATGATTATTTATCTCAACCATTAAGTGCATGCTGTAGAGTGACAGTATATTCTGTTTCCAGATCATGAACTCTCTGGAGTCAGGAGCCATGTCTTATACATGAAGAGGCCCTACCGCTTCAGGGTATGGGTACGGTGAGACTCAGTAAAGACTAAATAATTGATGGTGACAGTGTATGTCCTTTTTGTAGGCTTAGTGATTATTTTTTTCATTCTCTTTTGTTCTCAGGGCCTTTGTGCAATGCTTGGTAGGTTGACCTGTTCTTGTAAATATTGCTAAGACTATTGGAGACAGAGATACAGAGATTCATGGCACAGCCTCTGCTTTTGAGAAGGTTTTGGTTTGGTAATGGATAGAGCCAGTACAAGTCACATAAATATAAGTGAAGCACAAATGGGTTCCCTATGTGTTTTACTCTTAGGCGCATCTATATCAAAGAAACATACGTATGTGTATATATATTTGATAGATCTCTGGGGTACGTGTGTAGATTTGTTACATGGATATATTGAGTAGTGGCGAAGTCTGGGCTTTTTGTGTAACCCTCACTCGATTAGTATACATAGTACCCATTAGGTAATGAGAAATAATTTCTCACCCCACTCCCACCCTTCCAAGTCTCCAATGTCTGTTGCTCCAATCTCTGTGTCCATGTGTACTCATTATTTAGATCCCACTTATAAGTGAGAACATGGGGTACTTGATTTTCTGAAAGAAACATATTTCATCAGCCAAATAGTATTATAAGTCCTTTAATTATGTACTCAGTCCCTTGATGAAATGCCAGGGTAAAGGTGTGGCTGGGAGAAAGTGCATTTATAATGCACTGAACGTCTAAGCATCCCTCTCTCTCCACTGTCCCCTTCTTATTGGCCTCCATTTTGATAGAGCCATTTGTATAACTATCCTCATCTCCTATTCTCTCCTCTAGACTCTCCTGACCCTCCTCAACCCACCCAGACAGACTTTTTTATTTCCTACCCCTGGTGGGCCATGCCACATAGTATCCCTGCCAAAAACAGCTGCAGGAACGTCTGCTCTTCTCCACTGACTGCACTGGGCTGCTCTAGGGTATCGCACCCCATATTGTTTAGCTCTCATGTTGATCCCTTGAGAGAGAAGTGCTAGGATATGCCTGGGAAGTGTATTTTTATTTTTCTCTTTCTAATTGTTTTTAGGGAGCAATTTTTGTGGAGACTTTTTGGTCACTAAAATATTGGGAAACATTAATGAATAATGACTACGATCCAATGTGCCAAGTGCTACAAGAGAGGACCATGAATTCAGCTCTTTGGGGGGACAGTAGAGGGGACATGAGTTCAGCACGAAGGGTTGGTTTTACTGGGGTCCGGCCATTCAGAATTTTTGGCAGTCACCACTGGCCACTAGTAGTTGCCTCGGTGCTGCTTGGAGGGAGTCACATTAGATATGGTGTTTATAACATTGTGGTTAAGAATTCACCCTCTAAAGACAATCAGACTGGGTTTCAACCTCATTATTCTCATTGTGTAACTTGAGCCAGTTACTTAAGTTCTTTCTTCCTTACCTGTAAAATGGGGATAAGAACCTCATATAAGGTCATGGTGAAATTAAATAGTTAAAACATGTAAAATGTCTGAAACCTGACCATCACATAGTAAATACTCAAGAGATTTAAGCAATTATTATTGGTCCGTGGACTCCTTCAGACAAGGGCCACAGAGCTTGGGGAGAAAGGGCACACATAAGTGAAGTACACTCTAAGGTTCTCTTAGGCTCTGGCATCCTCATACTCTCCCCATCCGTTTGGCTTAAAGGAAGTCACATCCAACTGCCCACACTGCTCAGACGTGACATTCTTCCTGCCACTTTCAGCTTGGGTTCTCTTTCCTAGAATGCCCAGGTTCAACCAACCGTGTGGTTGGCCTCTCAGGAGTGTCTCTCCAGCTATGGCCCAATACCACACAGACAAAGACGGACTCTGTTGAGTGGAGGATGCAACTGACCTCACATTCAACATATCAGAAGATACTGAAGTGGGAGAATGGGTCCAATTTGAATTATGAATCTTCGACTTTGAATAATATCAACAATAAATACAGCTTTATAATCGAGAACTTGACTCTTCTAATCAACGCAGCTCAGCAGCAGGATAGTGGCCTCTACTGCCTGGAGGTCACCAATAAGTCTGGAAAAGTCTGGAGAGTCCAGTTCGAGGTTCTTGTATTTGGTGAGTCTATAGGACCATTCACTCTGTCCCTCTGATTCCTGTAGGACTTGTATTTCCAGTGCTTTTCTGATTAGAATCTCTGCTTCCAGATGAAGTTGAGAAACCCCTCCTGCTGGGGCAGGGGAAGGTCCTGGATGGAGGGAGGTGCCAAGTGTCTCTGTCCTGCTTGGTCTCCAGGGATAGCAATGTGAGCTATGCTTTGTACAGAGGGAGCGAGCTGATTCGGATGACAAGGAACCTTACCTACCTGGAAATTGATTCTAATGGCACATACATATTCACCTGCAATGTCAGCAACCCTGTCAGCTGGAAAATCCACACCCTCAACCTCACTCAGGGCTGTCAGGGTAAGTGGAGCTGCTCAGGGCTGCTCCTGCGTAAGTGGAGCACTTTGGGCTATAACAGGGGCTGAAGGTGTTGGACCCCATGAGCATGCTTATGTACAAGAGAGACCTGGGTGTGAGATGAGATCCCTTGGCTTCTTCCCACCCCCCCGCCCCCGGCCCAGTGCCTTGTAGCTCTTTCTCAGGGGGGACCTAACCTCTAGGCACATAGTTTCTGTGAAGTCAGGACTGTCCTAGCTTGGGAAAAATTTTATCCCCATCTTCTGGAAGCTGTAACCTTTTCCTTCACATGGGGAATGCATAGTTGCTTGGTGAGTCAGTCCTGCAATGGCTCCCGGCCATTATTTTCTTCCTCTGAGAGGCTGATGGAGACCTGCTTTCTCCTCGTGAGTGATAACTTTCCCAAAGCCATAGTCCCTCAAGAGGTAACTACACTGTACAGCAGTAGCCTGGATAGGAGCATCAGGAGGATCACAGGGATACCCCAAGAGTTCTCAGGCCATCGCTTACACTCATCCTGAGAGTTACCCGAGTTAAATGAGCACTCCTTCTTATTGGGTAGACAAAGACTTAATGTGCCATCAGTGTGGGCATTACAGGAAAAATAAACGAAACCACATGCAGTCCCTGTCTTTAAAAAACGTGCAGCCAAATTGGGGCAACAAAATTAAGTACTTACGGGCAAAAAGGAAACAAGACTGAGGCAATGTGTAGTGACAAAGATACTGGCTTCTGGGTCATGTCAACCATGGCTTCATCATTCACAAGCTCTGTGATCTCAGGCAGATTCATTAACCTCTCTGAGCCTCAATTTTTCTCTTGAGTGAAATGGGGATGATAATAAATACATAATACAAAGAGTAAAAGAGATAATGTTTGTAAAGAGCCTAGTCAGCCAGCGCTTGGGACACTTAATTCCTTTTCCTTCCTTTTTTTTTTTTTTTTGGTGAAGTAAGAGCTATCATCACATCCCTTCCTCTTGTTGGTTGAATTATATATCAGGCTACATGTGTGACACAAATGTTAAATGTAGAAGTTCAAATGAGGAAGAGCCACAAAGGCAGAAATAGCAGGAAGGTGAAACAGAAGACTTGCCTGGCACACAGTAGTTACGCAATGAATATTTGTCAAGTTAAAAACAAAAGAATGAAGAGATGTAACACGTGCTGTGCCAGATGCTTTACACATATAGTCATCCCTTGATATCCACAGGGGACTAGTTCCAGGACCCCTCACGGATTCCAAAATCCCTTATATAAAATGGCACAGTATTTGCATATAACCTACACACATTCTCCCATATACTTTAATCATCTCTAGATTACTTATAACATCTAATACAATGCAAATGCTATGTAAATATTGTTATACTGTATTATTTATGGAATAATGAAGAAAAAATCTGTACAGGTTCAGTACAGATACAATTTTTTCCCAAATATTTTGGATCTGCAATTGGCTGGATCCACAGACACGGAACCCACAGGTATGGTGGGCTACCTGTATTAGATCATGTAATTAACCCCTATAAGTAGATAGCATTATCTCCTTCTTACAGGCGAGAGAACCCGAGAGGCTCTCTAAGAGGCTCAGAGAGGTTAAATAAGTAGCACAGAACTCACAGAGTTAGTAGTTGAGTCAGGTCTGTCAGATATTATTAATAATATCCCTGCTCTTAGCATCACTCAGGAGAGGGTACCCAATTGAGCAAAAAGAAAACCTTGAGGGTGACTTCACAGGACACAAGGAGACCAGCCACACTAGAGAGGAGGGTGGGTTTTGAGGCAGACCCTGCTGCAGAAAGAAGAGGGAGAGCTGCCAGCTCACTTTTTATGCCTTCTGTATCCTGCAGAATTCAGATTTTGGCCCGTTTTGGTGACCATTGTGACTCTAATCATACTGCTCCTTGTTGGCACCCTGGCCTGCTTCTGTGTGTGGAAGAGGAAGAGGAAGCAGCCACGTAAGTGGAAGGTCCTTGAGGAGGTGCCGTTGCCTGAGGCATCAGATCCAGTGACTTGGCCGTGTGTCCAGGGGGATGCATGGGAGCAGGGAGTGTTGGGGTAGGTGTGTGCATGGTTGGGGGTGAGCAAGCGGTGGCTGCTAGGCCCTCTCTCCCAGTTCTCACCTTCTGTGGAGGCTGCCAGATGTTTACAGTCAGATCCCAATGTGCAGATTTCTCTGCAGGTGGCTGGTTGGGTGGGGGACTGCCCAGCCTGCTGGAGGAGGTGTATTGGGGTATAGTCGCTGCCTCTGTGCTCTTTGAGCATCCTGGGAAGAGCACTCACCTGCCTCCTTTCTAGGACTTTTCTTAAGGTCTTGGCCATCTGGCGTGGAGGTGGGTCCTGTTAGAAACCGAAGCCTGAGCTAGAGCCCCTCTGGAGGTTTCTTCAGCTCTATTCTTTGCTTCCTTCTTCCTGCAGAGACCAGCCCTGAGGAATTTCTGACAATTTATGAAGATGTCAAGGACCCGCGCACTCAGAGAAATCAAGTATGGCATCCTGGGGGCTGGGATCTCTCTCAACTGGCCTGGGAGATGCCTTTTTGATGATGGCCATTTGGAGCAGGAGGACAAAGAGGACTTGACAATTGTCCTCTTGATGTGATCCTCAGCCTTTCCCATCTACCTTTTCTCTGTCAGTTTCCTAGCTCTGGCCATGGGGGGAAAAAGGAAAACAAAGGGAGCAGAGAAGATGAAGAGGGGCAGGAGGGGCAATCTGGTGCAGAATCGCACCTGCTGAGAGGGAGGGAGCACAGCAGGGATCATTAGCAGGGGTGAGAGCTGCCACCTCTGCCTCCACACACTGCCCCTCGCGTCCTCACCTCTGCTGCCCGCCAGCTGGGCTGAGCGCCAGGAGGAGTGCGGCCTTCTCATATTTATGGTGTCTGACCACAAATTCTCTTTTCCTAGCAAATCAGAGCTTACTTTCTTGAGTCCCTTAATCGTGACCCAGGCTGGAGTGTGTGGTCAGACAAAGCACAGCAGATCTGTAGCTGGGTCAGTAGGCTAAGTTCACAGTCTCTTAGGAAGAAGAGGCCTGAGTCTCGCTGGGGCACAGAGAAAGCCGATGGATAGCAGAGCGGGCTCCTCCAGGACCCTCTCTCACTGGCTCTCTGTGGTAAACAAGTCTGCCTGTCATCCCGGGAGGTAGAAAGGGAGGAAGCTGCAGACTGCAGACACGCCCACTGCTGGGCCTCTGAGCAGGGCAGGATGTGGTGGCAGGCCCCGGGGAAAGGCCCCAGTGGGTCAGGCAGTGGCTACCGAACTGCTGGTGAGAAGGGGTGGTGGCAGGTCTGGAGGAAGTGCCCTTTCCTGCAGCCATCCCTGGTGCTTTATGGTGGAGGCCCAGCAGCATGCAGGAAGCATACATGGCAGAGCTCTTCCGCCCAGATGTGCCACTCTGGGAGGCCTCGGAACAGGCGAGCAGCTGCTCTCAGTTCTGGGCTTGATTGCATTAGGGCAGCTCCCCTTGCCTGTGTTCTTGCCCTAGCAGTGGAACACTGGGGTGTGAAAAATGAAAGACTTTGTTTCTCTTGCTGCTACCAGGCTCTGGTACAAATTCCATGTACGTCAACCTGCAGCCACTGATGCCCATGTGCTTACTAAAAACAGGCTTTTTTTCCCCCAAAATGAAGATGACTTTAGATTAGGAGACCAGAGAGGAAAATAACGACTTAGAGCACCAGGACTCAGCCCTCTCTGGCCTCTCCCTGCTGTCTCTGGGCTCCAGTTTGAAGGCGTAAATTCCGAGTTTCATGGGCTCTCACTTTGGGACCCACCTCCAATCTTTCTGGAGACACCTTACATGAGTGTGGACAGTATTGAAAAGCAGCAAACTCCTGCTTCTTGACAGGCGCCCATGGCTCTCTAGCCTCCAGGACAGCCGATGTTTCTCTGCTCCTTTTAGCTTCTTCTTGCTTCTGGGAGTTGAGCTTGCACCTAGTCCAGTGGGTCCTGCTGGCCTTCACCAGCTCCCCACCAGAGCCCAGACTGGCAATATGTGCTCAGGGTCAGCAGCATGAAACACCTCCACCCCTAACCCCTGATCTCCTGGGGGGCAGGAACAGAGGAGGGAAGCGGGAAGGGCCATGTGTTCCCTTTTGGCCTTGGACCCAGGGGTCCACCCAGCACCCAGCTGCCCAGGGCAAGCTGGCCTGGTGGGCTGAATCTAGAGAGGGGGCTTCAGTGTACTCAGTCTTTGAAATGTTTAAACCCTCTGAATTGCAGTGCTCAGAGCTCTGTCCACTCTCAATGATTACCTGGCAAATTTAGTAGAGAAATCAGCAAAGGCAAGGGAGGGTTTCTAAGTTACTAAAGTGAAGAAAGTGACAGGGTTGCTTGAATCCCTTCACACCTGGATGGTCCCTTGATCTTGACACTAACTTCTCCATAGCCGATGGCTCTTCTTCCTGTCTCTCCCCATCCTGGGGTGACCAGCGATGAGGCTCTCCGCAGTCCTGCCCCCTCCTTCCCAGGCTCCCAGGAGCCCCCTTTATTTTGCTGTCTTTCCCTATTCAGCCTCAATTTGGACCAACCCAGCTGTCTGCTCATGTTACCTCATGTTTCTTTCCTATCTCTTATCCAGGGACAGAAGCCAAAGCAGAATTCTCCTGGAGAAGGGAGCACCATCTACTCTACGGTCCAGTCCCAGGTACCCACCTGATTTCTCCAAATCCACTCCATGCCTATCTATGGGCTTCCTGATGCACTGTGTCCCCCTACCCTGAAACTCACACCCTTGGCAGACTAAGATCTTGGTGCTCCTGGGGTCCAGAAGACAGCTTAGCCTCAGTTGCATTAACAAGTTATTTGAAAAGATTAGCATGGTTTTGGAGAGTCTTAGCACAGCTGGAAAGCCCAATGTAGGCATTGCTTCTTTCCCATGCCTGGCAGAAGGTCTGGCCCAGAAAAAGTCTTCAGGAGGAGGAAACTTATTGGGGGACTCAACTTCTGTTTTTCATTCTTGCTGCTTCCAGTACTTGAGGCCCTTGTGCTTCTTAATCTCTATTCCTTATTATACCTGTTTTCAGGAAACAATAGATCTATAGTGGTACCTTTTACCTTATTATGACTTATCGATAATGCCCATTTTCTTAACCCTCACATAACAGCCTCATGAAGGCTGTTCTAAATACTTTAGATGTGGTCTAAATTCCATATCACAGATGAGGAAGCATTAGTCAAGTTAACTATTGTGCTCAAGACCACTTAGCTAGGTCGTGGCAAAGCTGAGCCCAATGGCTCTGAGTCTCCTCCATTCACCACCACCCCCCACCTCTAATGTTCTGGGATTACATAGATGCACCCAAAAACTGGAGAAGCATCCTCTAATATTGACAGCTGAGGTGACATCGATAACCCAGGATAGGCCATCTCTTCCAAGTAAAACACTGCCTTCTGGTGGCCAGTGATCAAAATTTTTTGATAAAAAATGGCTTAAAAAAAAAATAGAATTGAGAACCGAAACACCAATGTCCCCACCATGGTGACTAAGCTGTGGGACAAAGAAAATCTGATCATAAGGGTGATTGATATCTGTCAGTTCCCTGGTTTTAGCCACATTGAACTCCAATGAGAGGTGTTTGAATAAATGCAAGGAAGGGCTCCTCTCAGACTAGCTGTTGAGTGAGAATGAGATTCCTTCTCTGGAGCGTCTTAAAAGGAGGATCGTTTACCTGCCTTAGAGAACACCTGGTTCAGGTCCAGAGAAGGAAGGCACGTTGCAAAAGGGAGGCATAGTGTTGAGTAAAGAGCCTTGGAGAGCCTTGGGTTTGAATCCTGCCTCTGCTCTGTACACACTGTCTGGCTTGGGCTATTTATCCTTTTGAAGCCTCATCTGTGGTGTGTGGCAAGTTGTAATCATTTCTACCTCATAGGAGTGCTATGGGGAGAATACATGTATAAAGTAAGTGCTCAACAAATAGTAGCTATCATCAATGACAGAGTGGGACTAGCACTTACGTGGTCTGAGCTCCTGGCTAATCCGGGGTTCTTTCCACTAACACTTAGAGTTCCCATCTGGGCAGGGTTGAGGCGGAGGGGTGGAAGAGATGACCTCCTAGGGTTGTCTTGGATCTAGGCTTCTGAAACGATTCTATTTCTCTTCTTATTAGTCTTCTGCTTCCACATCACAAGAAATTGCAAATACGTTATATTCGTTAATACAGCCTTCCAGGAAGGTGAGTGTCTTCCTGGGGGCAGGGGTGCTGTGGGTGCAGATGTGCATTTTGTGTGTGCGTGTGCAGGCACGTGTTTGCAGAGAGTGCGTGTGCACATCCCAGTGAGGCGTCCTCTGCTGTGTGTATCTGAGTAGCTTCTGTTAAATGACTGTGTGTATATGTTAAGGGGCCAACAAGAAATGCCTTTCTGGTTCTGTCTGGAGAAAACTGACAGCTTCTAGACAAAGAGAACAGTGGATTAGAGGATTTTCTAGTTTATGTGAGAGGTAACAGATAATCAAAAACAGAAAGGAGATGCTCTGTGCAGAGCACCACAAGTCCTTAACAGGCCAGCTGAGGTTATGGCGAGAGATACTGGGGGGTTTTGCAAGGCAGTGAAGTAATGCCTGGGGCTGCAGAAGTAGACTGGACCTACAGAGATGCAATGTTGACTTTCAGGTCCTGGCCAGTCACTTGCTGGCAGAGGCCTCTGGACTGAGGCAACCCATCCTGGTGTACTCAAATCCTGCTCTAAGCTGAGCCCAGAGCTCTCATGTGTACCTGGAGCCAGAGAGTTGGGTATCCTGGTACCCACGGCCACTGTTTTTACCTTGTGTGGGAGCGGATGGGAACAGTGGTGTTCCCAAGGCTGGAGCCCCAGTATGAAGCCACAAGCCTTAACACAGTAATGGGGGAAGTTAGGAATCCATGAAACTGTGGAAGTCCATGCAGGTCAGGGATCGTGTATTTGAAGGGGTTTAGGACAGATTTTCAGGCTTTTCATTTAACGTCCTCCCAATAAGTCATTCAACCAACTTGGATCCCACTATGAGAGGGATTTATTTCTAATTATAAGGATATATAGATGGACATATAGATGTTCACAGGCACTGTGTTCACATGCTTTGGTATTATGTTATGAAAACTCTATATACTGAACATGTTTCTTAATTCCAGTGATTCATAAAACCACTGTGTTCAGGGTATGTGATAGGGTTGGCAATTATTTACATGCCAGAATTGTTTCTATTAGGGTGTATGTATGCTATGTGTTGAAGAGATACAGTATTTGTATTAGAATTGCCTGAGAGATATGTGTGTGTATTTGTGTGTGTGTGTGTGTGTGTGTGTGTGCGCGCGCACGCACGTACTAGGAATGTATGTATGTGTGGGTTTTAGGGGTGTGTGGAAAGCTAAATTCTGACTTTGGATCAGGAATGTCATATCATAGCAAGTACCATATGTATTGTGCCTTCCCTGGAGACCGTAAACACCACTGTTTATTCCCAGGGTAGGAGATTTATTCCCTTTCTGGTTGAGGAAACCTCAGTGGTTTCCTGGGCCCTGAGTCTCTTTTGGGACCTCGTCCATCAGTTAGGAGTGGAACATCTCTTGTCTTGAAGTTAAGCATTCTTTACTCTCTGAATTTCTAGTCTGGATCCAAGAAGAGAAATCATAGCCCATCCTTCAGTAGCACTGTCTATGAAGAGGTAAGATTCTGGAACTCCTTCTGAATGGACCTAGTGTCTGGGGCTAGCCCTGAAGTCCGGCTCTGAAAGGGTGTACACATAAGAAGGTTTCCATCCAGTTTCAGGGCTCTCAGGATTTTAGGGATCTTCTAATAAAAATCTTAATTTTAGAGGTGAAGACATTGAGGCCAAGGGAAAGCGAGGATCTAACTGACATAATATAACCAAGACCATAGCACATATTCAGGTTTGACTCTTATTGGGCAGTTTGGGTTCTAAATTAGGGCTGTTGCCAAGCTAGTTCCCAGGCCCTGGGCCACAAACTGGACCTCTCTCCTTTCCAAGGCTGGGGAGTAGGGGTCAGAGAGGGGATAATAAGTGACTTTATGTTTTTTTTTTTCCCCTCAACCCTCAAGTGGAGCCAGAATAAGTGACTTTAAATGATTTTCTAAAGTTAGCAAGTCATTGGGAGCCATTCCAGGACATGGGTGGCTTTAAGCTCTGCTGAGGTCACACTGTTCCTAGGTGACCACTGAGCCTGGTGGCTGAGTTGATTCCCATCAGAGCAGTTAGAAGTGGAAAGGAGAGACAACATTGATTGGGGATTTTTTATGTATGAAGCAGTCTGCCAGTGTCTTCACATGAATTATCTCATTTAATCTTCACAGAATGGTATAAGGTGTGTGTATAATTATATTTTCCATTTACACCTAGAGAAATTAAGACATGGAGAGCACCCCCGTCCCCACCCATTAGCCTCATGCTACACCCGAGCCTCCACCTGTGGTCCAAGAAAGATGCTGCCATTGGTCACAAGGGTGGGTGCCCCTGGAATTCTTGCCACTTAGGCTACAACCCAACATTAAAGCCAGCTGGACAGTCCAGAATTGTAGAGGACACTGTTTGGGCCGAGGCAGTCTGGGGGTCTGCCTTGTGTGTGGTTAAATGAGCAAGGGAGTTGGAGCCAGAAGAACTGGATTCAGGTCCCTCCTTTACTTGACATTGGTTGTTGACCCTGAATAATTCATTTTATCACTTCAAGCTTCATTTTCTTAATCTGTAAAATGGGGACAACAATTCATACCCCACAGGATTGCTATAAGGATCTCCTAGTGGGAGAGTCTGAAGTTTCTTCTTTTCTTCTGCAGGTTGGAAAGAGACAACCCAAAGCCCAGGACCCCGCTCAATTGAGCCGCAAGGAGCTGGAGAGCTTTAGTGTTTATTCCTAGTTGCTGCGGCTGTTCTCGCCTCTCTTTCACGATAGCGTCTGCTTTGGGAATCAGCATGATGGATGATGTCACATGAGTCTCTATAGGACACATTCTATTCTGGAGAGGATATGAAAGTTTGTTCATTTTGTTTTTTTTTTTTTTTTTTGAGACAGAGTTTCACTGTGTTGCCCGGGCTAGAGTGAGTGCCGTGGCGTCAGCCTAGCTCACAGCAACCTCAAACTCCTGGGCTCAAGTGATCCTCCTGCCTCAGCCTCCCGAGTAGCTGGGACTACAGGCATGCGCCACCATGCCCAGCTAATTTTTTCTATATAGTTTTAGTTGTCCAATTAATTTCTTTCTAATTTTAGTAGAGACGGGGTCTCGCTTTTGCTCAGGCTGGTCTCGAACTCCTGAGCTCAAACAATCCACCCGCCTCGGCCTCCCAGAGAGCTGGGATTACAGGCGTGAGCCACCACGCCCGGCCTGTTCATTTTGTTTTGAAAATGATTTCTAACAGGCATCATAAGAGCCAGGCTGTTAAGTAATATCTTCCAATTTACAGATTAGACAAGAACAGGTGGAAAGGTTGAGTGGTTCACAAAAGACCATATTCCAAGTACTTATAATCTATAAAGTGCTATGTAAATGTTGGGTGGCATTGTTATTAGATTCCCTCCTCCTTGTTTTCTAGTCCGTTATTTGTCTTTCCCACGCCCTGATCTGGGATGACTGTATCTTTAGACCCTCCCCTGGCCCAGGCCCATCTTCCAACGCAAGACGAAGGACAGAGGATGGTGACACAGGGGAAGAGGATAGGCTCTCCTCTGTGCAGCCGGACTGTCTGGCTGTGAGCGGGCTGGCAGATTCTCCACAGGGTCAGGGCCTGGGCTGCACCCAAATGCAGAGAAACAACTTTCTCCCACCCTCACACCTTTACCCCTGGCTAGCTGGTCACCAAGGGGAGTGTGTGGAAGCAAGAGTAGATGGCACAAAGCAAGCCCACCTCTGAGTTGAACAATCACCCAAGCGCATGCCATCCTGATAATCTGGTGGCAAGACCAGCTTTGTCCACAGAGTGATGTCTGATTTACAAAGTCACGTTATTAGAAATCTATTTTGACTTTTTCACAGAAGAAGAGGCCTCTTGGAAACCATATTCTACTTAAGTCCCGAGTCCTGAGAGCGCTCCCGTGGTGCACGTTGGAGGGGGGCCCAGGCAGCTGGGGGCTGAAGATGAGGCCGCTGGGCACTAGACACTGTGTTGGGTTCCCTGGGTCTTCAGACCAGACCCTTCAACAAGACTGTGGGGAGCAGGGCTGAGATGCTGGCTGAGCCCAGGAAAGGACGAACTGGGAGAGGGCTTAGTCAGAGACCCCAGTAGGTGATAGCACACAGAGCCTGAATCTTCAAGTACCCCACCCTATATTTAATATATGAGTTTAATATAAATTCCGCAGTGTTATGCAGAGGTAGTCTAAATCCCTTGCCTGAATTAAATTTATGTATCTTCTCCATATTCTAATAGCCATTATCAGAGCCAGGCTGTTAAATAATACCTTCCAATCTATAGATCAGACAAGAACAGGTGGAAAGGTTGGGTCATTCGCAAAAGACCAAAGGGCACTTGTGGGCCATCATAAACACATGTCTGTTTCAATTCTGCTCCATAGGGGTCTGGTTTCCTGGTGAGCCATCAGTGTCCCCCAGCCTGTTCACAATGGGACAGCAGAGAGCCTCTTGAAGGGTAGCCGAGGCATGCACTTGCCCCTACCCTGCTTGATATCTCCGCCTTGGAGACCGTGCAGCTGGCCAGGCTGGCTTCCTCCTGGAAAGAGTGTGGACAGACCGCAATCTTTTTTTTTTTTTGAGACAGAGTCTCACTCTTTTGCCCGGGTTAGAGTGAGTGCCATGGCGTCATCCTAGCTCACAGCAACCTCAAACTCCTGGGCTCAAGCAATCCTCCTGCCTCAGCCTCCCGAGTAGCTGGGACTACAGGCATGCGCCACCATGCCCGGATAATTTTTTCTATATATTTTTAGTTGTCTGATTAATTTCTTTCTATTTTTAGTAGAGACGGGGTCTCGCTCTTGCTCAGATTGGTTTCGAACTCCTGAGCTCAAACGATCCGCCCGCCTCGGCCTCCCAGACTGCTAGGATTACAGGCGTGAGCCACTGCACCTGGCTGACAAACCACATCTTAAAGCAAGTGCCAAGCTTTAAAACCAGGGAAATGTATTCCAAAGGAGTATGGAGGCGTGAGGCAGGTATTGGGAGCTGAGTGGCAGAGTCAAGAAGTTTGGTGAGCAGAGGCAACAGGAAATGACTGGGGTCAGAAACAGTCCAGTTGAACACCAGAGACACTGACTATTGACTGCTACTGGCCTTTCACCTGTCCTGTGTCATGTAGATCTTGAACTGGTTGTATTTATTTAAAGAGCAGGAGAGAACCTATGGGCTCAGAACTTTTTTTGGATGCTCTATTTTGGAATGTAAGATGTACAACATTATCATATTGCGTGTCTGATTGTTGAGCTTCTGTGGTAATGCCTCACAAAGGTAATTATCCGTGCAACAAGCCAGTCAATGCGCAAGCAGTAATTCGGCTCCTGCTGTGTGGAGCACTGCCTGAACTCCCGGGAGTACCCACTGGAGGCCCCAGAAGCCATACTGGCTCCAGGGCCATGTGCAGGAGAGTCTGACAGCAGAAGCACAACATTAAAGGATAGCGATTGGCTGCAAGGTGTTTGCAACACAAACGCACATGAGAGTATCCTGAATATAAGCCAAGCATGTTGCATCTTACAGGCAGGGGGACAGGGCTGTGGCCACATTTTAAGGAGAGTTACTGTGGCTGTTCTGTATCCAGAATGGACAATAAGGAGAGAAGTTCTTTTGGGTAAATATGAAACAGGCATTTTAAGCGCTTTTAAGAAATATCAAAAGAGTAATATACACATATTGTTTCAAAAAGTCCAGCAGTACAAAAAATTATGCAGTAAAAAATGTCTACTTCTCAACTTGAGATTCTCAGTTCCCTCCTAGAGGCAGCAACTAA